GCCCATATTCAGAATACCACAATGACAGGCACTCCCATCATGAAACAACTGTTACAAATTACCATCTGCAGTGCAGTAGCTTAGTTCCCAGGTAGTTGAAAGATTTTTAATACAATGAAGATGCATATAGTGCCATATTAAGGATGAAAATATGCTAGCTGTAAAAACTGTACTACTGTTCTGATTTTCTGTATATGACAAATACGTAAATTTATACTTGTATAAATACTGGCAAGAGTTAAAGAACTGGTAAAATTACAGACATTTTTATGTTTTAGCAATTGTCTCCTTTTTGAATGTTCTTCAATATTCAACTCAAAAAAATAAAGAAATATAAGAGACTAGCACAACATCAGTTGCAACGCTTGGTGCTCATGTGTATAGTGCACTTAGGCATGAAAAGGATTGTGGGAAACAGATTGTAGACTATGTAGTATGTAGTCTTTTTTACAGGTATACTTAAACTTTTTTTTTTTTAATCTTTAAACTTGGACAGTTAATAAGTTAGTATTTGCAAATTGAATACTAACCAATATAGATAATCACCTTTGTGTTATATATGTTAACTGTATAAGACTTTTCTTTGTCTTTGAGATAGTCTCGCTCGGCAGTTCAGGCTGACCTTGAACTCACTTTGTAGCCCAAGCTGGCCTGGAACTCACAGCAAATGCTCTTGCCTCAGCTTCCCAAGTGCTGGGATTACAGGCATGCGCCACCACGCTTGACTTGTACAAGAGTTTTGAAAAATCTTTGAAATGAGAATTTACTGCTGCAAATGTAACACGTGACAAGTAGGGAGTTACTGTAGCAGAGAATTCAGGAAAACTTCTAGTCATATCCTTACCCCAGGATATCCCTGAATATGAAGGGATATTTTTTAAATGTCTTGGTGTTTTTATTTATTATCCTTATTAATTAATTAATTTTTATGTGGTGCTGAGAATTGAGCACAGGTCCTTGTACATGCAAGGCAAGAGCTCTACCACTGAGCCACATCCCTGGCCCTGATTGTTCTTTAATACATCTGCTTAACAATGGCCTAATGTAGGGATCAGTTTTTTAAAATAACTTCTTTTATAAAGGGCCAGATAGATTTTGTGGCCCCTGTGTTACAGTCTGATATCCTAGTTACTTTTTTGTTGCTTAGACAAAATTCCTGACACTCAGAAGTTAAAGGAAGAAATGTTTTTATAGTTCACAGTTTGTAGAGGTTTCAGTCCATAGTCAAGTGGCTCCAAGGCAGGGTGGCATGGTAGAGGGGCATCATAAAGGAGAAATGGTTCATGGCAGGGCAGGTAGAAGGGAGCAATCAGTAAAGCAGCAGCAGCAAGCCTTGCCACCCACACCCAGCATAGGTCTTCTCATTATTCACAGCCGGAACTGTGTTAAGCCAATTAGTGAACTAATCTAGTTATTACATCCTTAATGCATATTCACATTCCCTTAATCCCAGTGTGACACACCCTAGATCCAGCCACCTCTGAAAAGCCCGATCTATGACGCTTTGGGAGACATGTAGATGTAAAATGATTGTTTTGGTTTGATTCAGTTTGGTTTGGTTTGTTTGTTTAGGTTTCCTTGTAAAATATGTTCTTATTCAAGGGTGGTACAAAAATAATCAGAGGGTTGATTTGGTCTTTGGTCCATGCTTCGTTGTGTTTGATGGAGTAATTTTGTGTCTGTTCAATCGATAGCAGTCATCAGAGCAAACCCAAGTCCTTGTTGGAATTGTTCTATTGTGGTTAGAGACACAATTTAAAGATAGAAACAACAGATTGAGTGAATGGACTCATCTCTGAATAATTTGGATGTGTATTGTCAGTAGTAGATGTGTTGTGTCATTGAAATACCCTGTTGTGAAATTGTAATCAGAGCTACCGCAGGATTGGTGGTATATTCCCAAGGTTCAGAGACTATATCAGTGAAAAATTTTTTGACAGTTTAAGTAGAACACTACTAACAATGAAAGTAATATTGAGGGAATTCATACTGGTTTCTTACATTTTGATAAGGATTGAACTGTATCTTTAAAACAGTAGTCTTCGCATTCTTTTTTTTTTTTTTTTTTTTGGCGGAACCGGGGATTGAACTCAGATCCTTGCGTTTGCCAGTCAAGCGCTTATCCTACTGAGCCATCTCCCCAGTCCCAGTCTTAGCATTCTTTTCTTGAAAATAGATTAGAAGTGTGGTTTTAAATACTTTTTTTTTTTTTTTTTTTTTTGGTTTAAGGTTGAATTTAGTAATAAATTTATCTTCTAAAAGAGATGGTCTTTAGGGAAGAAAGACTTTTTTTTTTTTTAGGGCACAGGATGCCTTCAGGGCAGGTCTGGTTTGCCTTGAGGATCTGGGAATCGAACCACGCGTGTTATCCTGGGCCTGACTGCTTTGTTTAAGCAGGCACTTAAATAACTGAGCTAAGAGGCAGGCCCCCCAACAATCATTTTTTTTTTTTTGGGGAACCAGGGCTTGAACTCAGGCCCTTGTGCTTACCAGGCAAGTGCTTATTCTACTGAGCCATCTCCCCCGCTCCTAAGAGATGGTCTTTAAAATCAGTCTGGAAATTCAAGAGTATGGTTTGATAGTATGAAATGTTATAAAGAAATAAGGAAAATACATTCTGAATTCTTTTGAGATCTGTTTGTACTTATTCTTAGCCACATGCTGAGGTGTGCTCAGTGATTCTACCTTGAAGTGAAATCTGTTAAATTCTAAGAGATACGTTTTCAAAAGAAATTTACTTTGGCTGATGCTCTGTGTGCATTAAAGCGCGCAGTGGCGTGTCTGTCTAGCCAGGTTGTTGTGCCAGGTTTCTCAGTGCCTTCTCAGGCTTGGCATGACAGACCCAATATGGAGTGCACTTTTCCTCAGGAAAATAGGTTTGTTAGACCTTGGGGCTGTTGCTCTGCTTCTCTAACTAACCCCAGGGGTTGCCTTGTTACTCTGGTTGATTTTTATTGTTCATATAGTCAAAAACCCATTGAAAATAGATTCACTACATAGATTTGACATTAAAATATTAATTAAGAGATACAACTATTGCTGTGGTTGAGAGAGCCATATTTTTTACTAGCTAGAAGTGTGGTTTTAAGTTTTGAAAATTTGGTTGGTTATTCTGTAATTACCCAAAAGCTTACCAAGTATGTTAAATTTAAATACTGATTGTGAAATGTGGCATGCAATAATGGAAAGACAGCTTTTCTTTTTAGGAAGAAATAGCTTTGATGATTATGAAATATATTTTGTATTTTTAGGTATTTGTGAGTTAGTTTTAAAAATGTAATTATTTTAATACCTAAGAGAAATTACTAATAGAATTCGTTTTAATGTCTTAATAATTTAGAAGATTAAGTATTGTAGCTAAAACTTGTGGTAGAAAGTCTATAATGGCTTCATTTTCAATGTGATGAATCTTCTGTGGGAAAAGCTGTGTTTCTTAATGGGTTTTGTGGGTGCGTGTGTACCTCTACTTCAAAAGCTTTGTCATGAGGCATAACTAAATGATGAGGATTTTCTTGTTGCTTTAAAACTGTGAAATTACTTTTTCTTGCCTGCTAAATAGTGATTGTTTGGGGCTAGCAGATTCTAAAATGAATATAATAGTGAAATGTTTATGTATTTCCTAAGGTAGAATTTCAAGAATTTGTTAGAGAATAATGCAGTGATTGAAATGGAAATATGGTACCTGGGACAAAAATCAGAAAATTGCAGAAATTTAAAATTTGCCAAAGAAAATTTATCAAGCTTTCAAAGTTTTAGGTTCTAGGCTAGTCACTGACAACTTTAAGGCAGAAAAGGCATTTCATGAATGTCCTTGTAATTTGTAAATTATATGAATGGATGTTCATAATATTAATATAGTTATTTGTAGTAGCTGGTTTTCTAATATACAAAAAAATACACATTTCCATGAAAGGAATTTATAAAGTTTTTTAAAAAATGTTTTCTTCTTATAGAATTTCAAGATAGTCTTGATGTCATATACACAGATCTGAAAATAATACTACCATTAGATGTTGTCTTCTCCACAAAGATATTAAGCAGTTTAACTTTTTCAAGTGTTTTTAAACCTCATAAGAAAAAGTAGAAAATGTATCCCTTACTTGTCATGATAACATTACCAGTCCCATTTCATACCATAAAAGCCAAGTGACAGTCATTCTCGCATTCTGTGTTTGTCCATGTAAATCAGCCTTGGTTCTCTGTACATCTTTCACATATGTGTTCTCTCATAGCTGCATGTGCCTGTGGAACTGTGACTACCCCGCTGTTCTAAATTGCGGCATCCGAAGTTCCTATAGGAGCTCTGCCTCCTTGTCTCTGAGAACACAGGGTTATTCTGGTTATTACTCATTAACACTATTGAAGGAGTCTTTTGCAAAGCTTGGATTTAAGGCAGAAAGCTAGTCTGCAGTCATTAGCATTATAGGTTAGAACTTACAGAAGTTACAGTTTTTGGTATGTTTATATTTGATTTTTTTTAACCTTTCTAGTTTTTATGATCTTCATGTATAATACTGAAGATAGTTTTCTGTGTCTGATTTTAGATTCAACCTAAAAGTGCAATTGCAGATTCTAGCAAGCTTCATGCTCACTGGAGTTTCTGGAGGTGCAAAGTATGCCCAGAACGGACAACTTTTTGGTCGTTTTAAGCTTACTGAGACACTTTCTGAAGACACTTTGGCTGGACGACTGGTGATGACCAAAGTCAATGCTGTTTATTTATTACCAGTTCCTAAAGAAAAGGTAGTACAGAGCCAGGGAACCAAAGAGAAGGTTTATGAAGCTACTATTGAAGAAAAAACAAAAGAATATATATTTTTACGGTTATCCAGGGAATGCTGTGAAGAACTCAGTCTTCGGCCTGACTGTGACACACAGGTATGTTTGAAGGTGACATCTTGACCATGTCTGAAGACCATTGTCAGCCAATCTCCTTCTCCTGATTTGATATACTTTCTACTGTATGTAATCAGAAGTGTTAATAGTTAACTTTGAAGTCTTCTATTTTTGAATTCAACCTCTGGTAACTCCCTTAGAAAATATATTTAAAAAAAAATTAACCTCTGGAATGGTCCAGTTGTATACAAAGTTGAATTTAAATCAGCATTGGGAAAATAAGTGAGAAACTATTTAAACCTATATCCCGGGAACATGCCTCTCTGTAGCTGTATTTGCTCTTGCTTTCTGCATTTAAAGGTTTTAGTTGAATTGTATATTCAGTCTGTCATTCAACTGGAAGTATGACATCTTTCCTTTTAAACATAAAAATTGGTGAACATTATTCATCTCTAGTTAGTTGGCACAGTGTAAAAGGGCTGGTTATTATTCTAGACATATTTCAGAGGTGATTTAGTTTATCAAATGTGTTCTGTTTTTGTTTTTTTTGAGACAGGTTCTGTCTGTGTAGTTCAGGCTGGCCTTGAGCTCACTTTGTAGCCCAGGCTGGTCTTGAACTCACAGCAGTCCTGTTGTCTCAGCCTCCCAAGCACAAGTTCTGGGATTACAGGTGTGCACTACCTCGCCTGGCCAAATGTGTTCTTGATAGGAAGGGTTGAATCAGATAACCTTTATATTTATATAGAGATTAATTTATAAGTGGCTTGGTTTCTCAATATGTAAAGTGTGATTAGTAACTCTGTATCATTAGTACTATTAAATGAGATAATCCACATAAAATGCTTATTGCTGTGCCTGGTCCTAAATAAATAAAGCAAATACTATCCATACTTCTTATTATTGGAATATGGTTTTACTTAGACTCTCTAAACTTGTTCCTGTTATCTCCACAAAATATTCTAGTGAACTGCTAGCATCAATGTTTGTTTGCTTCAATGTCTTTTTTTTTTTTTCTTCTTCAAAAATTCCTTTTGTATTTCAGGTTGAACTTCAGTTTCAATTAAATCGATTACCCCTCTGTGAAATGCATTATGCACTAGACAGGATCAAGGACAATGGTGTATTGTTCCCAGACATCAGTATGACTCCCACTATACCTTGGAGTCCCAACAGGTACAGAAAGGAGTTGTCTTAGTAAGAGAAATTTGTTAATATTTAATTGAATGTCTGTGTCAAGGAACTTAAACCTACTTTTATAAGAAGGGTTTCCTATGTTCCTTAGGAGACATTTTAATAGTTACAAAGGAAGATAACGGAAACCTTAGAATGAAACATTTGTGGTTCATCATCTATTTTGTTTGCTTTTGCTCACAGTCTAAATGAGTTCTACTGATTTTCTTAACAGCATTTAACTTGAAACTATGTATGCCAAGCAATTTAGGGCTATTTCATTTCTTTTGATACTGGTAATCAAACTTGGGACCTTGTGCTTACCAGGCAGGTACTATGCCATTGAGCTATATCCCTGGCCCTAGGTCTATTTCTGAATAGAATTAAATGAGAAAATTAAAGCCTTTTTAATGTAGTTTGAATTGTTAATTTTTGTATGTAGATGATATTGTGATTTAGCAAAGTGGGCTGGAAGATACTGGTTGGAAACTGTTCTCAAGTGAATGATTATATAAATATTGTTCTACTTAAATTTTCTTTGGTATAACTTTATATGCAGCTAAAGAAGATACTTCTGTTTTTGTTTTCTAAATAAGTTGTAGTGATAGACTGAATATTTGTCTTTATCCTTTTCGTTGGTGTTTTTTTGTTTTTATTTTTTTATTTCTGAGAGAGGTTCTCTGTATTTTGGGTTGGCCTTGAACTCCCTGTGTACTGCAGGCTAGCCTCAAACTCACAGTAGCCCTCCTACCTCAGCCTCTCCAGTGCTTTCTTGTTGGGTTTTGTCCAGTTGGCCCAGATCTTCCTCCGCTTACTCTGCTTTTTTTTTTTTTTAAATGTTACCTTTTAAGAGATCGGTATACTGTGGAGGCTTATCATGTATGTCAATTAAGCCATGGCAGGGTATGCCTGTTCTATACTATTGGATGCTCCAGAACTTTCAGGAATTGGTTTCCAAGTCTCTGGGTGTTGTTGGGAAGAACGAGCACAGGACCATGTGGGACCTGTGTATAGCAGGGCCCAGAAGTGATACCGATCAGTTCCCCAAACATTTCATATCTTCTGTTCCTAAAGAAGGCACTGTCTTGCAGCCTGAAACTCCAATCCTGTTTTTACTTCCCTTTACTGCCTTTTCTGTGTTTTCTCTTTACTGTCAAACATTTTGAGAAGGAATAGCTTGAGATTTCTAGAGCGATCCAGTTTTTCTTGCTCACTGTGCTTCTAGTGGTGAAAGTCCATGAGGCGCCTGTTGCTCAGCTCTTGTTTGGGTTAGCTTCTCTGTGTTTATCCCTTTCTTTCCATTCTTCAGACCAGGGCTTAGCTATAGGCTGGACTACTCTGTAGCTGTCTAGTTTGTCTTCTCTCTTGCTGCTGTGTCACCACAGCTGTTACAACCTGTATGATTCTTTCAGAGTCAGTTTTCCAAAATAATCATGTCATTTAATTGCTCACCAATCTCTGAAGGCTTCTTGAAGTGTCACTGAAGTGTGAGAGGGGAATACAAAGCTCCATTGCCTGGTTTCATCTACTCTGCTCTCTAGCAATGTTTTTTTAAGAGTTCGCGGCTCACTTTTTCCATATCTCCATGGTCAGGCCATATTTCATTGCCTTGAAGTTTATTTAATTTGCCTTATTCATGTTTGACCCCTTTTCTTCTTATTAATTCTTTTAAATACTTTTTAAAAATTGAAATGAAATCCACATAACATAAAATTTACCATCTCAGCCATCTTAAGCATGTAGTTCGATCTCCAAAACCATTTCATCTTGCAAAACAGAAACTACCCATTAAGGAACTCCGTATGCTCTTCTTCCCCCGTCTTTTCTCTCTATGTAATTTCCTCTCTGAAATAATCCTTGCCTGGTATCATCCAGCTCAAGTGCTTTCTCTTTCAAATAGATGAACCCAACCTTTACATTTCATTATCTTAATAAACATTTTTTAAGTACCTGGCATATGCTAGGCATGGTTTTGTGCTTTCAAGTATAATTTCTCTTCAATTAATTTTTGTCAGTGTTATATGTTTCTGCTTTTCTCACAGCTTCTGAGGTCTTAAACTGTGCCTTATTTTGTACACCAGTAGAGTCTTTCACATTGTTTATATTGGACACATTCAAGTTAATAAGTTTAAATTTAAAAATTAAAATTAACTTTTTCTTTTTTAATGTATTTCATACGGGGTCTCACTATGGCCCCAACTTATCAAATATGAGGACATACCAGTAAACGTGTGAGCACTTTTACTCAGTATGTTCACCTCTGATAATTATGTATATTATAACCACACACTGTGTTAACTGCAAAAGTAATAGGAAAATGTCAGTAGCAGAAAACTTTCAACCAGAAAAAGACTTATTACTGTAATATAAGTAGTAATTAAAAAGTTCCTAGTCTAGGAACATACTGAGAAGCCTTTATCCATTTAAAATCTTTTCTGGAGTAATGTATAGCTAGATAGGTGAATGAAGTTGAGAGATTACTCTTGAACATGTAGTCTGTAATTACAACAATGTGTTATGTCAGAGAAGGAGTTTTTGAACTAATCTGGTTCTGAGAATGAATTTTTATTTTAGCCGATTAGATTTGGAAAGACTATTTTAAGTTGTGAAAAATCAAAGATGATCCGTAGCATATGTGTTATAAATCTTTCCCTTAATAATTGGTGGTACAATAAATAAATACAATTTGTTTTAATCATTGGCTCTCTTTACATATTCATTATTCATTGCCAGAAATTACAGAGATGACTGAGATTGATAAAGTTACTGATCTGCTCTGAAGCACTTATTTACACTGAAACAGTTGATAAGCAGAATGGGTTGCATAAAAAGAGATATTGACATATTTCAGAATTATACCTGTAAGTTTGTCATTAATCTCTCTTAGATTTGTACTATGTATTTAATCGTATATCTTATCTCATTCTTAAAGTCCCCAGATTGGAAAGACTGGAGTGTGTGGGTTTTTGTTTTTTTTTTAGTTTTGGTTTTAAAAGTGTATACTAGTTAAGTAATGGAATTCTCAGAGAATGTTTTAGTAATAGTAAAATTAAGTATAGTTTTATCACTCAATTATTTTTCCAAACAGCTTCCTGTGAATATTTTAGTTTATGTAAAGGTATGTATTTTCTCATTGAGTCTTTAAGGTAATCATTTGATTGTAGGTATCATTATCTCCAAGTACACTTAATTTAGATACAGGAGACATTCCTGGTTCAGGGCAGGTATCTGGAGTCATAGAGGTCAGGCTAAACCAGGGAGAGGTACAAACCTAAAGGTGGGTGATTTATGGCTGGTGTAGGGGTGTGGCCATGCCAGCAAGTCTACCTTTTCTCTCTGCCTGTAGAACATGCTGATTGGTTGGTTGGTTGGTTGATTGATTTTTGTCTTTTTGAGACAGGGTTTTCCTTGTGCAGTTCAGGTTGGCCTTGAACTCACTTTGTAGCTCAGGCTGGCCTCAAATTATCAGCCATCCTTAGTGCTGGGGTAGGCCTGTACCACCATGCCCGTTGATTTTCTTCTTGATGCTGTTCCCTCAGGGTTTATGTGATGACTGCTGTAGATTTATTTACCATATCCTCTTTTCCAGCCAGCTGAAGGAGGAAGTCAGTGGAGCAAGAAAGGGTTTCTCCTAGTTAAAAATAATAATTATTAATGGGGTTTCATTTGCATATAAAACAACTTCTTAGGGACTTCTTCCTAATTCCAACAAAGGAAGCTAGGAAATGAAGTGTTACTTGGCTGGCAAGGCCCAATAGTAGAGGAAGGCCGAAAACAATGCTAAGAATGTTATAGACTGCATACATCAATTCTGGACCTAGGAATCACCTACAACCTTAGAAAAGATGCAAATTGCTAGGTACTCGCAAAACAGTGAATATAAAACTGATTAATACAGAGGAACTCTGAAGTAAAGTAGTTGAGGTTTAATAAATAACTTCCAAAAAAAAATACTACCATTATTCAGTGTTCTTTTTTTCTTTGTTTTAATGTAAAATATTTTCAAGTTCAGCAAAGTAAGTAATGCTATGTTTATGTGGTCATAGTTAAGATTTTGTAGTTTAAATTTTGAGGGGGGAGGTTTAAGATTATTAGTCAAAGCTAACACATTGTAGGTTTGATTTTCTTTTTTTTCTGTAAGACCCAAAGCATGATGATTATTATAATAAACTAACCTCTGATTAAGTAGTATGTAGCCTCATAAAGAGGAAATTTTCCTGCCTAACTCTGATTTCCTACTTCAGGATTATTTTGTATGTTCTTTTCTCATTTTCTAAGAATCTTAATATATCCTTCCCATTTTGGTTTATATCCCCATCATTTTTGCCATTATTGTCATAATATTTAATGTTTGAATTCTGAGTTTGAGAAAGAATGCTGTTACTTCTCCACTTATTTGGTTCAGTATCTGCTGTCCATTAAATCTTCAAAACTCAGGTTGGACACTATTAGAATAAATCTTAGAGTAGCCATCTCTCTTACCCTGACAGGTGTCATACTCTTAAAAAAAGGGATGTCTATATAATTTTTGTCTATGAAAGTATTAGAAAATGTTTCATATTATTTGGTTTTGTGTATTTTAAAAAATTTTCCATTTTCTAAATTAACGTTTTGGGGCCGGGGAGATGGCTCAGTGGAGTAAACGCTTCCCTGGCAAGTGCAGGGGTCTGAGTTCAATTCCCGGTTCCACCAAAAAAAAATTAACATTTTGTAAAAATTTGGTAACTTAGGTAATTTGGTAACTTAGTCCCTACGGAATTAAGATTTTTCTTTTCCTTTTGGTTTAAACCTTAAATTATGAGACCTTTCACTGGATTGGAATTTTAAATTTAATGAGTTTTCCTTTCTCATTTTACTTACTATGCAGATAAATGAATAGTTTGTTATTGCCAAAAAAAAGTTTTCTGATTTTTGTTTTTGTTTTGTTTGTGGGTTTTTGAGACAGGATTTCATTGTGTAGTTCAGGTTGACCTTGAACTCATACGGCCCAGGCTGGCCTTGAACTCTTAACAGTCCTTCTGTCTCAGCTTCCAAGTGCTAAGATTTCAGGTGTGTGCCACCATTGCTTGGCTTTTTCTGATTTTTTTTTAAATTAAAGTGAAATTATATTTTGAAACATTGTCATTATAAAATTGGCAGCACCTAAACTAGAAGTATTTAATGTCTTTACATTAGTTCACGGAACTTCTTTGCAATTCCACAAGTAAACTAAAATTACTTTTGGTACATATTATAACAACTTACAGTGACTCTCTTGGGTAATTTCCTAAAAAGTGGGTTGAGAATAGTATTATTTGTTATAGATGCTGTGCTATTTCGATTGTTTTAATTGTTCAGTAAAAAGTAGGATACTTAGTTTCCTGTTCTGTTTATTAGTAAGATAAGTATTTTTAAAATAACATGCATTCTTAATTTTCCACAGACAATGGGATGAACAGTTGGATCCTCGACTAAATGCAAAACAGAAAGAAGCTGTTCTGGCCATTACCACTCCGCTTTCCATCCAGCTGCCACCTGTCCTTATCATTGGACCCTACGGGACGGGCAAAACATTTACACTAGCTCAAGCTGTCAAGCATATACTGCAGCAGCAGGAAACTAGGTGAGGGGAAGAGATGTGTGCCTGGGTCTTACTAGCAGGGTATGGCTACTGTGCTTATATCAAATACAAAATGAAGTGGGCCAGCAGATAGTTTTTCCCTAGCTCTTAAAAATTAGAAACAAAAATAGAAACAAACCTACAGAGCTGGAAATAAGCTCAGTGGGAGAGCACTTGCCTACCATGTACAAGGATCTGCACTCATTCCATGCACAGGGGGTGATGGTGGTAGTGGGGGCAATCTCAGGGCACTAGGGTAGGAGTTCTCTTAGAATGTTTTAAGATTGGAAGTGTAGAAAACAGTAAATAGCCATTAGAACTTAAAGTCTGTGAAGGAATTTGTTACACGTTAGAGCACAGAGAGCTGGGTTTAAAAGTATATTTCTATATGTAGATTTAAAAATAATTTTGGGGAACTTAGTTTATGGAGTAATATGATTTTCTAATAATATGCTATATGTGTATTTTTAATGATACATTAGAGAGTACCAAGTAGTTTGAGGTAAATGCATACTATTAAGATGGCCACTGCTTTTTTTTTTTTGTACTATATTGCTTAAATAGTTTTTGTGTTTTATCATTTTTTTTTATTTGCACCATTTATTTCAGCAGGATTCTCATTTGCACCCATTCTAATAGTGCTGCTGATCTCTACATAAAGGATTATTTACATCCATATGTAGAAGCAGGCAATCCCCAGGCAAGACCTCTCAGGTATTTTTAAAGGCTTATTATGTATCTTTGTCATACTTTGTTATTCTTAAGAAAAGGTGTCTGTAAAGATTTTAGTAACCTTGGAAATACCAAAATCTTTAACTGCATTTAGAAATGAGATCCTTTAAAGAAATCATTTAAATTAAGCAAAATGTAAAAACATTTGGTCATTTCTTTAACATTAAGAACTGAAAAAGACATCCTTTTTTAAGTTTTATAAGTAAAATGTTGTTAACAATTTGAGTAGATTTTTATATGAATCTCTAAATGCTAGTATAAGAAAAATGTAAAATGAGTAAGTCAAATTTAATGTAATTAAGATTATAACATTTAGCATGGCAGAGCAGTCGTACAATGACAGTTTTGTCTGGAAATGGAATCTGACTATGACCATGCATGTAATGTCTTGGAAGCCACGTGCTCATAGTGTGAAATGCTGAAATGATTTCTACAGCTAAAAGTAATTGATTGGCATTGACAGCTTCTTCCTACTGTTTAAGAAATAAATATCTTGATACAGAAATGTCATCTGAGTATATGTGGATACTAGATGTATTTAAATACAGTATTGTGGGGAATACAGTCCTTTTCTTCAGAAAACAAGAGTCATTAAGTGGTTATTTACTATATCATTTGCTGTCATTGTTATAAGAATTAATACTTAGTTTTGCTCTTTTACAAACTAATGTGTCATGGCCTAGGTTGTTGAAGTTATTAATTATTGTCTACAAATTAATTTCTAACCACATGATTATTCACATTTTCTTTGTAGTTGAGCCCAGGCAAGGAAAAGTGAAATAACAATATTGAATTATTTAATAACCATAATCATAGTCATTTGAATGATTTTAGAATTGGATTTTTAAAACAGAGAAAGTGATGTGGCCTTTACAGATTTTTCTGCTAAATTTTGTTTTAATTTTAGAAGACAAATGAAGCAGAAATAATTATTTAAGTACAATACAGTTTTATTTAATAAAATTCACTCTAAGTGAAATGTGGTATTTATTGAAGGATAAAGTCACTACTAACTAGTTTACTTCAGATTGTAATCTTACTAGTTCACTTCAGATTCAAGTCTTTTTTAATTTTTTTGGTTACCATTAACTAAATTAAATAGCTAGTATTTTTGCCATATTTTTACTCTAGTGGAGATAGTTTGTCTTATTTGCTTGTATAATGTGTGTGTCAGTATGTGTTGCGTAGGAAACATGACAGTTTCAATTATCGTGTAGTTCATGGTTTGGAAACGGTGGAAGAAAGTCCTATCAAATCTTGGTCTACTTAGCATAGGTAGTTTGACCTCTGGTCATAGGTGAACATGGAAACCCATCTTTTGTTAGGTTATGATTAGCTTTTTCCAGATAATGTTTTTTGAGGTTATAATCTAACATGTGCTGTATCTAAGCATGTAGAATGAAAACTGTGTTGTAGTGGAGTATGTGTCTAATTTTAGAGGTCCAAATACACAATGTTGTCTCCATGCAGATCTGTCCCCTATAAATCTCAAAAGTGGTTCAGTCCAAAGTGGCTAAGTATTAGGATTTATTCAAATCCAAGTGTCATGTTATTTTCTTGAGTATGTGGAATGAAATGAGAAAAAGCCTATTTTCTCTAAATATTTTCTATATATAAACCTATATTTTTCACTGTCGCCTTTCTCTTTGGGAAAGGTGTTAACTTACAAATATGTTTCCTAGGAGGATTAATACTTTGAATTCTTACAATTTATTAACACCATCTGTTATTACCTTTATTTCAGATTAAATTATAATTTTTCTCATAAACAACAAATAGAGGTTTGAGAGATAGTGTGGAGAAAATTAGGATGACTTTCTCCTCTGGGGAAATCAGCTTTATCTGAGTTATTCCAGGATGCAGGGGAAGGAACACAAGAGGGCACCAAGTGTCTGTGTTGGCCCGTGAGGAAGCGTGAAGGTCTCTAGGGAGCAAGAGAGTCTGCTGTTCTAATGGTGGCATGTAGTCAAGCCCCAGCCTTGTGAAATGTGGTGCTATCAGGATAGCTAAGGAGCAAGTGTGGGAGTAAATATTCTTAGATATATACTTGATGATTATTTTTTGTTTGTTTGCTTTGTGGTTCTGAGGATTGAGTCCAGGGCCTTTATACTAAGCTACTTTCCTTTCCATCTTGTTTTTATTTTTAAATTTTTAGATAGGATCTTGCTAAGTCAAAGTTGCCTAGGCTAGGCTTGAACTTGTGGTCCTCCTGCCTCAGTCTCCTTGCTTAAAATTTATAAAATTCTTATGCTTGCCAGGATTTGAACTGATCTAAAAATATTTTGAGATGGAGTTTTTAGGAGTCATTGTAGGTGACATGTAGTTTCTATTTTTATTTCATTTAGTGATAGAAAATTTAAAATGCAATATATTTTATACATAGCTCCTTTTTGTATATGGCTCTTAAAATCAGCATCTGGTCCTGGTAAAAGTTATGATTAGGGAGATGTCATCTTTGGAAAAAATGTGTGTTTGTTGCATTGTAGATAAATTAAAGGCACTTATTGTTTTAGATGTTAAAAAGAGACTTTCTTTAGGGATGAAGTCTGACTCTTGGTGTCTTAATAACATATTCAAGAGGTTTTTTTATTTGTTATGTATGAATTCAATACGTGGATAAGATTCCAGTGAATTAAAGTTTTGTATTACCACACTATATCCTATTTTAACAATCATAGGGCCTGGGAAGATAGCTTGGCAGTCTAACGCCTGCCTGGCAGGAACAAGGACCCAGATTTTTTTTTTTTTTTAATATTTATTTATTTATTTATTTATTTTGTGTGTGTGTGGCCAGCTCAGCCTACCAGGGGGCGGGGCTGGCTGGCATGTGGTGCTGGGGGATTGAACCGCAGTCCCTGTGCTTTGCTTAGCTTAGCTTGTTCTAAGTAGGTGCTTTAGACCACTGAGCCATCTCACCAGCCCAAGGACCCAGATTTGATCCCCAGTACCACATACTGTGCTGACCCCAAAACCCGGGGTACACCATGCTGGCCACCTAAACCAGGCATGGTGGTGCATGCCAGTAGTCCCAGCGCTGGGGAGGCTGAAACAGGAAGATCACTATGAGTCTGAGCTGCGTAGTGAGACCCTGTACCAAATGAAAAAATAAAAGATTAAAAAAAAAAAGAATCATAAATCATATGGGGTATATGACTGTCATGCTGGGGATTAGACCAGAGCCTCCCATTTGCTAGGGAAGAGCTCAGTCACTGAGCCAGAGCCCAATCTTTTATAATGTGCCTAGAAGTGGCATTTGTCACTGTCCAGATTTTTTTTTTTTGCACAGATTTTTAGAAAGGTGTGAGATATGTTTTAAATGATTTTGAGTGTCTGCCTTAAATATTTTACAAAATGGAAGTATAAAGAAAGTATTTAAATTTTTTAATGGCCAGTGAGATAGCTCAGCAGACTAGATGCCTTCTTAGGCATGCGCAGGGATCAGGGTTTGATCCCCAGTACCACATGCTGCACTGGTGCTGAGCCAGCCACTGAGTCTGGGCGTGGAGGATCATTGGGAGTCTGAGCTGCGTAGTGAGGCCCTGTACACGATAGAGACAAAATAAATTTTTTGGAAGTCAGCAGTAGAGAAATATTCTTATAATGAAATAGGCCAAGTAATCAAGCGTTGTATTCCTATTACTTTCAATTTAGTTTTCTTTTTTTAAAAAATCTTCTTAGTTAACTATTTGGTAATAATAACCAGGCAGACCCTAGTGCCACTGAGTTTTATCCCCAGTCCTGGCTTCAGTTCAGTACAGTTTTCCAAATAACTGTGAAAAAGTAGGGGATTTAGAATTTAATTTTCTTTGAGAATGAAGCAGTGTTTTTGAGTTTCTTGATGAGTAATTTGAAAACCCACCATTTTCTCTTTCACAATGAAATATTTATTGAGGAAAATATAGACAATGACAAAGGAGAAAATAAAAATGATAATCTCACCAGCCAGAGGTGAACACTACTCACATTTGGGGGATTTGGTTCTGTTTATTCACATAGTTAAATATATATACTATGGTTAGTATGAGTAGAGTCATAGCAGATAGCAAAATGAGATATTTGGAAGAAAATTCTGCTTTGCTGATTTGATTAAACATTTTATTAAAACTAAATATGTTATAAAATATTTTTATATCTATTGGAAATGACATGGATTACTTTGATCAGTAATGTTTTAAAAATCCATTACTTTTTCAACTATAATTTATATTGAGACCTTTATTTAATGTTTTGGCTTTGTTGAATAACAAACTATAATCAGTTTTAAGGTTCCATGGAAGATTGGGACAGATTTTAGAAAATGAGATTAGTTTGTGTGCAGAGTACATTTTTGCCACCTCTGAAGTGCCCTCAAGCAGGTAGGTGTCAAGCAAACAGACAAATGTGTAGCCTGAAGCTCAGTGGTGAGGTCTTGGCTGGAAGGAGAGATGTGTGAGCCGGTGGGGTGACCCTGGAAGCCGCTGTGGATATGGGTGAGATCGGCCTAAGAATGAAGTATTTTTAAGTTGGTAGTAAAAACATCTTTTCTTACTTAGCTGCGGCCTGTCAAACATGAGGGACAAATAATTCTCCTTTGGCCATTTTTTCTTACATTTATTTCTACTTCTCTGTAATCAGCATATATGAACTGTTACATATCTTAATTGGCTTTAGATATTGTTGACTATTATGGTAGTTTTCATTTTTAGTATTTTCTATAAATATTACATTGTAAATTCTTTGCTCCTAACAAACAGTATTTCCTTTCAGTGCTTTTTTGCTTTTGTTGTAGCTTAAGTAATCTTTATTTACCTATTATTTGATTTGCTTGGTTTTCTAGGCAATTTGATGAGGTCTTTGTATCATAAGTAATTCTGCAGATGGCTAACTTTGTACATTGTCAGAACTCTTAGCTGACTTACCTGTGCCTTTTTTTGTCCTGGAGACTAGTCCGGTGGGTTTATCTTGTGTCTCTGTCCTGAGATTTTGTTCTGTTATCTGGACAC